TTTGCTATCGGCCCCTCTGCAATTATGACATTAGTCCAAAGATCCTTTAGGAACTAAAATTAATGACTCAGGTGGTGCTTTTTTGCCAACTTTCAAAGAATTAGAGGCATTTTTTCAAAATCTACAGTCGGTCAAAGTGAGCTCTCCGTGTGATCAAAGTGCTCTCCTCGCTATTTGACGCATAACCCTTCAATTTTTAGTTTAGTCCAAAGTTCTCTTAGGAACTTAAATTAATGACCCAGGTGGTGTGCTCGATGCCCTCCGTAAAGAATTAAAGGCATTTTTCAAAATTCACAGTTCTTTAAAATTAGCTTTCCGTGTGATTTTGCTAAAAATCGACCTCGGACCCTAGCCCCCCCCCCCCAAATTTTAGCTCACCCAAAATCGTTTAACGTGCATAAGGAGACCATAGATATAGTGTTTTGTGCAAATTTTGAATGAAATCGAACAGATAGATTCTGAGATATCGCTGTAGACAGATTTGGGGGACGCCTGACGGACGGACACACATTTTTTCATGTATGGTTATTTTGACTCCTGGGGCCTTAAACCGTCTAGAAATGATGGAATTTCAACTTTTTTTGTTTTGTTTTCCCTTGCAGGATGATAATACTTCCTCTACCCTAGGGGAGCGCGAAAGTAAAAAACAGGACTCTCTGAAAAAACACCACTGGTTTTTATAAACCAACGTTGCCACGTCTATACCAGCAAGGGATATAGAACCTAAGTGGCTACTCCCATTGGTAGGAGTGGGGAAGGGGGAGGAAGAGAGGGGAAGGATGGGGAGAGGGGAGGGGGAGCGTTCGCAAGAGTTTAAAAAAAAAGGTTTTCGCGCAAACCCGAAGTCAATATTTCAAACCGCTTCAAAAAGGCGGTCGGTTAAAGTTCAAAATGGCCAAAATTGACATTTTGGTTGTGTGCGTATGGATTTGCCTGAAACTTAGAATTTGGGGGTATTTTGGCATGAGATTAACAAATTTGAAAATGTAAAAAATTCGGAAGGTAGAGGATTTTACTTGCTTTAAGCAATTGAAGTACGTAGTGAATTTTCTCATTGGAAAGGTCGATAGCAATTGTTAAAATTTTTGTTTGTTAGTCTGCCCTTTTATATTTTCGTGTTCGGGAGTCCACACTAGTTTAATGACAACAAAGTTCACAAGACACAACAAAAACACCAGCATTTCGCGCGCGCCCGGCACACGTCTCTCTCCCGAGTTCCGAAGACGTTCCATGATTCCACCTGCGAGCTCGACCGTCCGAGGTCTCCCCGTCGCTCAATTGGGAAATCGTTGTCTGAAAAGCAGCAATGAGTCAGTTAAACTCGGGAGGGATTTGCCTGCAAATAGTCGAATCTTACAGTTTTCGGTACGAGAAGGACGATGCGCACGTCAAAATTTCACGAAATATTGTATCCGCGGAGATATAACGCTTCCTTTTTAGGGGTTCTCGAAAACATGTTTGAACCGACCGCCGTGAATTCTTGGATCTACGCGTCATAAGACGGGAAGATGGCGGCGGCGAAGCCGACCTGCTTACTACCACCACACTGTCATTGTTGACATCTCGATTTCGCGTTTGAGGTTAAGTGAGCTGTGTTATTGTGTTGTGAATGTGATAACCATGATAACGTGAGTGGAAATTACGATGTGCAAGGACATTAATGACTATTAAGGTTAATCTTCAGCTGTAGTTCCGAAAAAATCCACCACGTCGCGCTGCTAAAATCCGACTCCGAAATCAGTGATTATTTAAATATCACAATAGGTATCTTAAATTCTAAGACTCATAAGTTCTAGCAGCATACGTCTGGAATCCTTAGAAACAAACGCGAGCTTTGAAAGTCTAATAATAAAAGCTGTAAATTGATCCCAGTTTCTCTTACGGGATATCTGTAAGTGCGAGAGAGACAGCTCACGGTGGGAGAGAGATATCTGCCAACTGCTGAGAGCGATCGAGCGCGATTGGTTGCATCAAGGTCATCATGCTTAACCCTACTTTTTTCTGGGATCAAATTGCAGAACTTCAGAAATGACTTTTCACGTTGTTTTTAGGGTCAATAGGAAGAAGAATGTTATAGCTAGAACTTATTTATCTTCGATTTAAACAGAAATTCCTTCAACTTTTATAAAAGCTCAAGGACTCACGTGGTGCTGTACGGACTCTAAAACACAGCGGTGGCGCCCCCTGCGCGGAGAAATTTCTTACTTCACGCAGCTGTAGATACACCTTAATGCTCTCACCACGATGCATGAAAGAGTGAAATACAAGGATAGGAGAAACCATGAGAGACCCACATAACCTCAAACAGTAACATACCGGCAACGTAAACATGACGCCGCCGTGTATTCTTCCACTACGCATTCCGCCGCCATATTGATCGTGACGTGTACGTCCAAGACCTACGAGCGCGCAGTTCAAACGCCGTTTTAGGCGACCCTAATTTTTGGCACTCTCAAATAAACTTTTCTCCTGTTTGCAGTCATCAAAAAAATTTAGGAAAAAAACCGTAAGCTTCGGTCACTTACTACTTTCGAATGACACAATAAAAAAAAATGACTTAACTGACTCATTGTGGAGCGCTTTGGAAGGCGGCTATTACACATCAGGGTCAGTGTCGAGAGAGCGACATGGAAGACGCCTCTTGCGAAGCGGGAGAGGGAACTCTGGAAGGCTCGATTTCGACCCTCCCCAGCTCGGCCGTGGAAATCCCTTCATAATCAGATCGCGCTGGAGAAGTGGAACATCTCCGCGACCGGGCCGACAGCGCTACCTAGCGGATACTGAAGAAAGCCGAGATGGGCCTCGTGACGCGGCATCGCGGTGCGGGGAAGGAGGGGGCGGACGTGGCGAGGCGCGGCGCGGCGCGGGCGTCGCATGATAGTGGCGGAGCAACCGCGCTGCGCCCAGCTGGTAGGAGACTCCGGCCGGCCTGAGTTCGCGGCGCGAACAAAGCGCATACGTGCAGTTTTGAAAAAAAATCGAGATACCAATGATTTCAACAAACACTAGTGTTAACACACATTCTGGGAAACATTTGCTGCCAAATTCAAATTTTTAAGTATCAAAAAGTGAGTTTTAACTTTCTCTCCGCCATAAGAATCTCTGTAATCTTGAAACTTGAAATCAATTTTCGAAGCAGCAAAAACTGCACTTATGCGCCTTGTCCTCTAAGCCCCTCAATTATGCTTTGAAAAAGAGGGGAAATTACAAAGAATGGGAGTGGATTGAAAATAACTGTGGCGGTTTGTTTTATGTACGCGGCACTCGATATGCGATTCACGATCACGCCACGAATCTCGACCGTCGTGCCACATATAAACAAAGATGAAATCTCGTTTGTGCAGTGTGTGGCATCGGTCCGCTGTATCGTTCGTTTCCAAACAATAGAACATAACCTCAAACTGCTTCTTCCTCTGTTGGTTCCCACAATAAGTGATTGCGGACTTACGCCGTCGAATTGAGAATTAAAATGAAATGAAGATAAAAATAAGCGGACGATTACTCAGTTATCCGTCGGATTAGATGTTAGATGTTACAACAATAATAATATTTTTGTTTTTTGAAGATTCCGTGACGTACTAACTTTTAATTTTTCCTCCTTAACTGCTCACGGTTTTTCCCGGGAGTGCGCGCGTTGTGTAAAACTGCGGCGCGACGGCACGAGTTATGTGTTGTTGGAATTAACGCCGAGATGTGTTTTGAGTTCTACGTTTTTAGGTGACTTCCAGATGTTTTTCGACTGAACTATTTTAATAGCAGGTAAAGGGCATCTTCTACATTTCATTTCTGCAGCTAACTCAAAACCGCCAAAAATCGAGTTATGTGATTGCCGACTTACACCCTCGATATGCCTTTTACCTTGAAGTTAATTAGTAGCTTAGATTCTTGACATTTTTTGAAAGGGACTGAGCAGCATTGTGGGGGGGGGCGGCCCCCCTATTTCCGCTCATGCCGCTCTTTGATTGGTCAACGAGTTTTTAGGCTTCATGATGATCTTGCGGCAGTAAATAAACAAGATGGCCACTCACCGTAACACTGATAAGAATCTGAAATTTGACAAAAATTTCAATTTTACGGCAGTAACAATTCAAACTAGCATATCTACGAATAACACATGAAAACACTGTTAAATCGCATTTCGCCTTTATCACAGGAGGATGAAAGATTAAAACTTTGGGAAAATTTAAGAAACTCACGCTTTCACTTAATGATTATTTTTCGGACGCGTTTCGGTGGCTACCCGGGCCACCATCATCAGTTGATGCTATCCTCAAGAATTATTACCCTTCTTTTGACAAAAAGGAGAAATGTAGACAGTTTTTTTACTCTCCTTGAAAATCTCGTTTTCCGAGATACTAACTTCTGCACTTTTACCATCGATTTGCTGTGTGTGCAGTCGGCTAAAGGACGAGTCTCGACTGCACCTAAGTGCGGCTTGGCAGCACCTCCGATTGGTCGGTGGTGCGGTTTGGACTTACTGATGGATGTTGCATCCCCAAATGAAAGAAATTCGGCCCCATGTGATATGTACCTAAATAAATTGAGGCCCTTCCCTACGTTCTCTCTAGAACTTATTTTTAGAACTGTCCTGGACTCTCGGGAGAGTGCTTTAAAGCTACGAGAAGTAATCTTTTCTGAAATTCTCTAGAACTTCATTGAATTTATTCATTATGTTAGTATAATGTTAGTAAAAGGATCAGTAGATACGTGGTTCGCTTCGGAAGTCACAATCACCCGTGGAGCGAAAGGTCGAGGTGCAGGAGGACGGCCAGGCTCCTTTGAGGCGGCGAGTTCTTACCTCAATAAATACTTAACATTTAAACCTCATAATCGAACATGTATATTTGGTTTTAGGCACATAAGTAATTTGGTACAACAACTAAAACTGTATACTTTGAAATGCCGAGCAGATGTATCGGTGTAACTGTCTTCCATCCTATCAAGAGATTTTTGTACGAGGGTTGTTGAAGTTCTTTGTAATACGTTGCATATTTCCACAGGAACACGGGAGTCTGGCCCCACTACTACCAGTCTGAGAACGAAACCGAAGGAACCAGATGAAGAGGAAGGTGAGGAAGAAGAAGAGAGTGAAACAAGCTCTGAGTCTGAGGAAACTTCTGACTCATCAAAATCGGAAGATGAGACCGAGCCGATAGCATCGGCCAAAACTGAAAAAGTGGCTCCTATGGAAAAGACTGACATCGGCCCTCTCTTAGCACGAAGTGCAAATGCCAGGGATACCACTATGTCTCGGAAGTCAAGCAGGGATGAAGGTTACAAAAGCTCTCGGTGAGATTCAGAATCACTTTCCACATGAATTTTACCTCGACAATTGCAGGATGAGTACAGTAAAAGGGATTACAGTAGGTTCTTCTAAAACGACAAGATTAAGAGACAGACTATTAGATCTATCAAGAATTATGTCAGAAGTTAAAATCTAATAATATCAAATATCATACCTTCCAAATAAAACAAAATAGAGCTTTCAAAAAAATGATAAGAGGTCCACCCATAGATTATCCTATACCTAGACGATATTAAAGACAGCTGAAAGTGTGTAAATAAAATTAACGTAGAATCTTTATTCCATCTTAAAAGCTTTAAGACAGGTATATTTATCCCCTTAGTTCAAGTTGATTTTATCCCTATCCATGCTAAAAATAAAAAAATCCGAAATTTACGAGCTTAAAAGCATTGTCCAAATAATCGTTAAAAAGTATCCGTCTCAATGCAGGAAGTGTATGGCCTAAGTCACACACACAGATACTGTGAGAAAGGTCCGTGGTGTCTGAAGTGTGCAGGGCCCTACGATGTCTCCGAATGCACGAAGGATAAAGAGACGCCGCGTACTCGCGCTTGCTTTGTGCAGCAAGCATCACACGGCCAACTGCAAACGCTGCAAAGTCGCGTTTGTGGATCTCCGAAAAGATAGGGCAGCGGATCCAGTTGTCGGTCATGCTGCATCACGTGGCGTGGGCGGAACGCGATCCTATGCTTTGGCAGGGACCAGTTCTATAGGACCCTGGACTCTTGTGAGAGCCAATGTAAAAATTCGTGAGCAGGTACTAGTGCTGCTATCTCGTGTAGGACCCTAGCAACTCACTGCTATTATCAGTTGTTGGACTTGACAAAAATCCGTGGGATCACATATGTCTGCCAAAAATCGAGATTTTCACCCCTAAATACTCAGTGGCGGGCCCTTCCATGTCGTAAGGGGTCGGAAAACGCCAACAATCCACTTATTTTTGAAGAATTCAGATGCCTTATGTGTTACTTTTCAATCATCGGCTTAACCTCACTTTTGGAGCGGGCGATGGATGAGTCGAGGTTCGGGGTGATCCTCTGAGTTTACTAGGATGCGAGAATGTGCAGCAATCACCCGCCCACAACAGAACGGCGTCATATAGAACTCGTCCCTGGTTTCGGCCACGAAGGGGGGCGGGGGGGGATCGTGGGATAATGCTCCACAGAAGGTTCCGACTGATAACAGTTCTGTGAGTCACTTTATCAAGATTATCAATTCACGAAACGAAGTAATCAATCAGCTCTAAATTCAAGCCGATTCTCTTATGAAACAAGTTGAAAATTTAGTTGCATTAATACGAGATCGAGATGCTAGAAATGGTGTATATTTCAAATTACAGCCATCAAAAGACAAACAAAAGACATTACATTAAGATTCTTTAACAACAACCGTCATCTTTAGGTTTGAATTTTTATTCCTACTCTTATCTGATATTACTGGTTTTTACTCTCTTTTTGATTTTGATCTTGTATCAAAATCAGGGGACTTTTTCCATGTATGTTACCACTTCTATCTAGGTAGATAGGTGTCATATCTTGTCTTTATCTCTCCCTAAGATTTATTGTAATTACATGTTTTAAAGAGACTTTCAGCGAAGTCTGACGAAACTAACTCTAGGTATTAGTATATTTACTAAAGGGCGAGTGTCCTCCTTTAACATATACTGAGTATTTCATAAATAAAACTCTTTAAAAAAAAATAAATATAACAATTCGGAGAGGGTGAAAATGATTTTCAAAGTCCGTGAAATCATGCCTCCAGGAACAGTTTTAGTGTGGGAATCGCACAAAATGCTTGATTTTGTTCATGGAATTATTTATAAAAATAGATAATTCTGAAGGCGCTTCATACCATTGTGCAATATCCAATCCACAATATTTGTACGACCTCATAATGATTTTTTTTCATGTTGGCAGGTACGGGACGAATGACTCGAGCTACCGTTCTCCCTACCAATCATCAAAGGACTCTGAGACAGCATCGACTGGGAGTAAGTACACAGGGAATCGGAATAAGTTCGAAGATTCCGACTCGGTCGGCAATAGGTACGGTGCAGGTAGCGGGAACGTGGGCACTGCGGGATCCTCGGGCTTTACCAGCCGGTTCTTAAGTAAGAGTAAAAGCTCCGCTGTAGTTTCTCCCGAGGAGGAGGAGGCGCGAGGGGCGAATATGATAGGCGCGGGCGCAAGCGAGGAAAGCCGCTTTCCGCTGGGACGGACCCGCTTTGCTGCCTTTAAGGATCGCAAAGCTCGATTAGCTCGGAGCAAGAGCACACACACCTTCGGCGTTGACGAATTCGACGATTTTGATGACGCCAGCTACTCCCCGTCGGTGTATCTCGCCTCCAAGAACGCCGCCTTAACCCCCGGCCACGAACTCTCCCGCAGCAGATCTAGCCACGCTTTGAAATCACGAGAAAGCTCGCCCGAGAGATCCGCAACGGCGACTCAAAATATTCAAGGTAGTTTTTTTGCTTTATTTCAAAATTATTCCAAAAGCCCATGCCCAAGCCCACCCACCACTGCCCTGTCCACTCCACCCGGAACATCCAAACAACTTGCCTGGCAACGACATGGATACAAGCTAGGCACCAATCAATGTTACCTACCTCACCTGCCTCTAAATAAACAGTAGACGAGGAGTAGTACAGGAACTGCAATTAATGATTTTTACCAAGGAATCATTTTGTTGAGGTTTAAAAATATATATAATATCGCGCTCTATATTGACAACTCAAAATTAGCCATCGTAGTATGAAAGCGGGGATTTGGCTGGACCTTGCCGGTAAGACCGTGAGACGCTCTTCTTATCGAACCTAGCCTGACCCAACCTACACAGACCGCATGCTCCGCATGGAACAATATCAGGAACCGGCGAGCAGGGTCTGCTCCTTACCGGACCCAACCAGAGAACAGGGTCTTCTGCTCTTCTTTAACCTTTTACACTACATTGGGCCCCCACGATAAACTGGTGAACATAAAGTCTTTTGTTCTTCGAATATTTTTCATAGGTTATGGACTTACAATATCTGTTGTTGACCTGGATCATATTTGAATGGGTCCGTCGCACGCAAGAGATTCAGTCAACTGGATACAGTTTTCCAGAGTCAATTCGCTCGAAAATCACGTTGGACACATCAAGTAAGCGTAAAATCTGCTCCCTGGTACGCAATCTGCGTAGTTTCTTACCCTCTTTCTCAAGTTTTTCGCGCCTGTGGGCAGTTTAATGAAATCTATCATTTTTCCGTCACCACCGACCACCCAAGTAGCATTTCTCAACGGAAAAATCGCTATAAATTGTGATTTTATTGGCGATGAAATTGCCAGGATCATCAACATCTGAGCGATTATGCTCGATCTTATCGCGCTTTTATTGTGATATTTTCGAAAAAAAATTGCCATACCTAAATGGCAATTTAATCTCAATTTTATCGACGAAAATTGATCGCGATTTCATCGAACCAAAAATTGCGACGTGCAGCGATTTTATCGCATTTTTTCATGCGATAATATCTCGATTTATTGCCACCGATAAAATCGCGATAACCAACCGATAAAATCGTTATTTATCGCGATCACTGCTACTTGGGCAGGTTTGCACCGGCAGGTAGTCCCAAAGTAAACAAACGATTTATTAACTTTTTCTATTGTAGGATATCATTTGTTTTCAAGCGTTTCTTCTTATTTCTTTATTCCGCGAAAACGGAGGCTTTGAATCAAGTGAAATCTTCGGCAAGGAGAGTTCATGGCAGTTTGCAAGTTTTTTTTGTGTATTTAGGTTAGGTCTGTCTACAGGCAAACCTGATCGCCAGCCACCACGCAAAAGTGACCGCATACGCGGATTATTTGAAAAAGTGTGTTAAGAACTACCTACGCAGATTGCGCGCTATGGAGTGGATTCTAGACTTTTTTGATGTGCTCGATGTGATTTTTGAGCGAAATTTCCCTTAAAAATTGTACCTATTCAGTTGGCTGTATCTCTTGCTTGCAACAGACCTCGTTCATGTTGCCCGTGTAAACCGGGGGTTATACCTAATCAGAGTGCGAGAATGTGAGGAGTATGACGATGGGGATTTGAATCCACTTTACCGGTAAGGACCGATCCTTCCGGGATCTATTCTGACGGAACCTAACCTAGCATAACTGAATAACCTAATCGAAAAACAGGGTCTGCTACTTATTAAACATGCCTGATGAATCAGGGACCGAGTTAAAGAAAAATGTTCGTATGTGCAAACGTTGTCAAAACTCGGTGAATATTCAAACTCGTCCGATTTGTATCGATCGAATCGTAAAGGCTGCACCGTTTGGCGAATTAAAAATTTAGTATTTTCTCATTATCATCGACATAAAATTAGCGGAGACGGCACCATCCTGGGGTAGTAGGTATCTAGGAGAGGCTAGTCGAAGAGGCACACATGAATGAATTATTCAATTAATACAAATCGGCTCGACGAAAACTTTCTGCGAAAACCCCCGGTTCTGGGTAACTTTCTATCTAAGTTTTTCCTGTTTCTAGTTAAGCTCATTATAATTGAACAACATCAAATTTAATAGCTTAAATAATTGTTTAAATCTTTGATCTCATCGTTTATCCGTTTCACTCGATTCAATTGATTTTTGGGTTAATTTCTTTTAGGATTATATGGATTGCATTTTGCAAAAAGGAACCACTAGCATATTTGCAATGTTGCTAAGATTGTGCAACTTCTTTTGTCTTGGAGGAAAAACCCGATTATCCATTGATTGTTTGTATTTTACTCGCTAAAAACTGTGAATTTAAGACAAAAATGACCATCATTCCATAGTTTTTCACGATTTCCGCAATTTTATTGCAAAGGATGAAGTTGCACAATCTTAGCATCATTGCAATGCTAGTAGTTCCTTTTTGCAAAACGCAATCCATATTATCTCATTTTTGGAGTTTCTAAAAAAAATTGTAAAATTTTGATATTCTTACTATAAAGGGCACTCCACTCCCCCATTAGGGACTTTTTATATAAGTAGAAGCACTGACCTCCCTTCCCTTAATAAGAGGATAATGATTATACAGTGAATTTGGCACGTAACCCGCACATGTGACACACGAAAATGGGGATACAATGCTGAAATTACACACATTAAAATCGAGACGTTTTGCTCCGAGATTGGAGCATTTTCAATCGATGAATTTCAAATGAACACTTAAAACTACAAACGCATGACTGCTCGGAATTTCACTGTAATACAAGAATGCAAGATGCTTTTTGAGTGCACGTCTGTGTCGAGTTGCTTTCTCATTGGTCCTTTCATTAACCAATCAGAGAACGTCATTGAAAATTCCCGGGAAATTTAAATTCAATCTTCGATACATCGGTCTTTTACCAATTGGTGTAGAGTTTCAATCTATAGATCTTTGACCTATCCATCTTCGACCTATTGATCGTTATTTACCATATTTAACATACTTATTGAGAAAAAAATAACGAGAGTCAATTATTTTGACTCTTTACCATAGCATTAAAGGGAAAATACCGAATGTCTTCGATCTCAATTTTTTACCATATAGTTCAAGTGGAAAATACCGATGGTCGATGGCTTCGATATTTTAGCATACTTTTAAAAACGGGATCAATACAAATAAATCAGGAGAGATAAGGATAAAACTACGTCCGTCAATATCGACTGATTTAGTGGCTACGTCATTCGATATAATATCGAACTATAGGTTCAAATGCTAACAAACACAGAACCGTGTTTCTGATCCGCACCCCTGCGCCATGGTGGTAAATGCGTCCAAGTGTGGCTGACAATCGAAAATTCTCGTTTTAAATGAGACTTTAATTGATTTATGATTGGTCAGTGACTAAATTTTGATGAATTAACCCAATTAACTCATGAAGAATTCGTACATGAGGTTATGTTGGTTCGAATCAAGAGGTCGATATTATATCGAATGACGTAGCTATTAAATCAGTCTATTTACCGGTTAAAAGGAAAGAATCTTAAGAAAATTGGAATAATCAGCATAAATCTAGATAACGCGGTATAAATCAAAGTAAATCGGGATAGAAAGTCAAGGGGACGGATCTTATTAAAAAGAGAAAAAATCATGATAAATGTGGTTGAAAAGGGACTAATTGGCATACAACAGGATAAATTGAGGGACATCAGGATAGATAGGGACTACACGCAATATAATGATATTAATCGGGATACAAGGGTACCTAGGGATCTTAATAAATCGAGAAAAATTAGGTTAAACTGGATGAAACGAGATGAATTAGGATGTAACAGGATAAATATACATTTTTCAAAAAATGAAGATAGAAAAAATGTAAAATCTAGGAGCAAATTCAGCTTCCACAAATATAGGCTCAGGAAAATATCCTACCTACTTTATTAATGGTTTGTCGATGGAATTTAAAACATATGGTGTCGATAGTCCCATACTAGTCATCAGCAAGTCCTTTTTTTTGTATTTGTTACTTAAATTGTAAATGCATGTATCGAGCCCAGGGGGTGGTATCTATTTGTACACATGTGAACTAGTATTTCTGACAATCTTTTGGAGAGTGCATTGCGATATATCAGAGTCAATCTGAATAAAAAATACTAGCGAAGTAAAACGGAACACATCCGTGCAGCAATATCCAAAGAAACGATAATTTAGGCATTAGATCTGAAAATCGTTCATATAACAAAAAAATTGTCGGACAATGTACCTACTCTTTATTGTTGGTGTGATTTATTACTTGTCATATTGAAAATTATCATTTTTAATTTTTTAAATACATTTTAATTTATAGTTTTAGTTAAACGTGACTTAACATAAATAATAATAAAAATATTCAAGCGAGTACCTTTTATAAGTAGTTTCAAAGTAAAAATTAATATTATAAATCCATTATCCAATTTTTATCATCTTTCAATATTTATTAATATGGTGTAAATATCAAGCCTGGGACTGTGCAAATATTCGCTTCGTCTGACTCGCGGAATGTTCGCAAATTGCGAATATTCACGCCGTCACGAATAGTAAATTTTTGGAAAACTTTTTTCGAATATTCGCGTCATCCGGAAAGAAATTCCAAATATTCGCGCCGTCATAAAAACGAACTTCCGAGTGGCAATCGTTAAACAAGAAATCGAAAACGGCGGATCTCTTTTGATCTTAACTGGCTTTGCCGAGTTTACGAACAGCGCGCGCGATTGAGATTGGCCCACATATTTTGGTTGCTCCAAGAGTATCGCACATTGAAAGTTAAATAACCAAGATGGAAGAGGGAAAAATTCATAAACACAGTTTCATTAACACCGTAAAAAATGAAATTCTAAAAATGTGTCTGGTGATCCCTAGATACTAGCTTAACTGCCCGCGCAGGTACCTTCAAATCCTGTGAATGCATACATAACTGCAGGAACGGTCAAGCCAGCCTCCAGGGATCTTCAAACAAACTCTTAACAGCTTAGGCTACTATCATAGGATTTCATTGGTTTCAGTGCAGGTGCATGAGCAATTGGATGGTTCTTAAAAAAAACTAATCACACTTATTTGTCAAATTTAATTGTACTTGCGAATTTTTGCACTTAAAAAAATAATTTTAAATTATTCGTTTCACGATTCGTAGGTACGTAGTTAAATTATTCGCGTTTCGCTTCGCTATTCGCGAATAATTGACAAAATTATTCGCTATTCGCTTCGTTTAAAAAATGCACTATTCGCACAGCCCTAAAAGTTATAAACCTCAATAAGAACTTTACCTAAAGAAAACAATGTACGTATTTGATTTTAAATTGTTTAACTTTCGAATAAATTAAACTTGTGTGCGTATTGGCACAAATATAACAACCGTGCAATACGATCACAAGTTAAATCAATCGAGAATGATACCTAGATCAGAAAATGTAGGAAAATATGCAATTACTAAAGGTCAACTATTAACTCAATTAATATTGAATGATTTGAATGGCAAGCATCTAAAAGAACTTTACGAGTATAAATGAAAATTACAACAATAACGTATAAAAAATAATTTGTGATGTTCTCCTCATAAAATGACAGAATCTACGAAGGGGTTGGGCCGCGTAGCGGCCAGGGGGCAGACATCTGAAAAAAAATCAAACCATTTGTTATGACCGTCATTTATAAACGGTTTTTACTGAGGTATCGGCCATGGATATTTTTTGTGTGGATTATCCATACAAGCGCACTCATTTGAGGAGAGTTGGGTGAGGGTAAAGAAAGTAAAGAAATCGTGCCTCTTGTCAGCGTCCCTCCTGGTTTCATGCTTGTCTGCGATCATCAAGTGTGCATAGACAGCCAGTCCCGATTTGAAGCTCAAACATTCTGAGATGCCGCCGTACAAATTAGACTGCCGAACTCCGGTGGGAGCTGCACTAGCAGCGCGGCTCATGCCCTATACTGTTAGCCACCCAACAACTCCTAAGTTTTACTTTTGATGGCTAGTTGTGGACGCGATAGTATACAATAAAATATACCTACACTAATTTCCTTTCACGCTCGCGTAATTTTGGCAAGAGTGTAAATGGTCCCGAATAGTTCTTAAGGGCTAGAAACAACTATTTTACATTATTTTCTAACAAGTTGTGACATATTTTAGCCCCCTCAACTTCGCAAGACCTGTTTTGCATGACTGTCAAATATGATTATTTTGCTCCGCGCGGCGCCTTAAAACTAACTGCGCCGTGACCTATCCTACCCCAATACCGAGATCAAAAGAGAAATTTTCTTGTTTAAAATAGGCTTCTGGATGTCTGCCTAAGAGATGGTCAGGTTTGAAATCATTTGGGCACATTTTATAGCCAAAAAACGCAGTCCCGCAGATTGGCCTATTTCCTCCCCATTTGAACCAATGTAATTTATCTCGAAATTTTAATCGCCTTTGGGAAAAGTGTAGACTTCAAGTATGATGCGAAAACATCAGAATTATCTTTCGGGGGCCTACATGAATGGGAAAAACCTCAGGGAGCAAGGTTTTGAGATGGTTGCCTCAAAACGGAACACCGTAAGCCGTGCTCTAATGAATCGCCTTAGTTACCAGTCGTCGGAAATTTCGCTCTTGCCACAGTCGTCCACCAAAATTATTTTCAAAGGCCCCTCATAGGTGTAGCATAATCAAGGTTCTCCTGAGTCTAGACTGAACAGAAAAGTGAATAATTATGTGAATCGCCCCAATGTTTAATCCTCCCCAGACATAAACTATCCTATAATTCCCATTTCACTTAATTTCCTAATCCTCACTCTTTGCGGATTTGGTTTGAGTCCGTCTCCAGACAGCCCCTCCAAAAACCCATTTTATCAGAGAGATTGTTAATCGTGGAATTGAATATTTACTGCACTGACAAGACCATCCCACACAATAAGCCTGATCTGGTTCTTTTAGACAAGAAGCAGACTATTGTAAGTACTTACACCTAAAAGCTACCCTGCCCTCGGCCCCTGCTAACGTCTACATACAATTGATAAGTATAAAGACAAGATCGAAAAGTATCATCTCTCAGGAGCTGAAGTACAGCTACTCTGGAAGCTTCAGAGATCAAGTTTGATACCGTTTATATTTTTAGTCACGGGAATTGCTCCTTATGCCTTATCCTCGCTTGAAATACTCGTAACGGAAGCAGCTCCAGTTCTATGAAAACACGCACTCTTCACAGCAAAAATTCTACAATCCCACATACCTGTAAAAGGTATGTAACAGGTAACCTGTTACATAACCAGAGCATTCCTAAATTCAGAGGAGTGACTGGGATCTAAGCTCCTCGCAGTACTGACATCAGCTTTCGATGGCTTACCTTTTAAACGTTTTATTCTCTACGAATTTTGGTATATCTTAATGTAATCAAACTATTTTAATAACTATTTATTTTTGAAATAATGTTTCAGGAAACGTTGTTTTCAAATTATTTAAACTACTAAAATTTGGAGTGTCTTTAAAACATTCCGACTAATTTCTTTAAATGTTTTAAGACTAATAATGTTTCAATTGTTTTAAGGCTAAATATTTTAAAATTATTTTAATGATAGGTAAAAACCTTCAAGATTCAAGACTCGGCTACGAACCGTCTTTTAGCCATAAAAACGAAAATGCCACCCCTTAAATCATATTTATTTCATATTAATTTGTCTCAGATAAATAACATTAAAAAAAGTCATAATTCCTCGTGGAAAATACATCCATAAAGCGGAAAATTTCCCTCGAGAATAAATACCTATAAATTACATAGGTTGGTCACTGGTTTTTGAAATAATGGAAGGGTTTTAATTGCTTTTATTTTTTCCGGCATTTGATTGTAAATCGTGGTACACTAAAAATTTGGGGCCTTTTGTAGTATAACACCTCCCATTTTTTCAACTCCTGTTATATCAGCGATCCTCCTCCCTCTGTACCCTCCATGTTCCTGTTGAATTCAAAGTAGAATTTGTTCTTATTAACACACAGAACAGTTTCTCGAATATTTAATATGTTAAAGGCTTTCATTTTGGTATTGCCTTAAAAAATCAGCCTACCTACATGTTACGTTCATTTCAAATAATCATTTGAAATAATGACTTCGGGTTTGCGAAAAAGTTTTCTTTTTTTATGGACTAAAGAACGAGGTATCACAGGATGCGAGGAGTCTTTCTATTTGAAAAATATTGGGGTCCATTACCCCTCCTCCCCTCCCCTAGGCCACGCCTGACAATTATAAGGGGAGCCGAAGAGAAGCTCCCTTTAACAGAGAATTATCCCCCTTTTTCAAATCTTTCGATTAGTAAAAAGTTAGTGGGGTAGGGGAGAGGATTTTTTGGTGAATCATATACGAACCTTTTTAGGAAGTGAGCTATTTGGAGGCTGTCATTGAATGAAATAGCTACAAAATTTTTTTGATAAAAAACTACATACTTAAATAAATAAAAAAATTGTATTACTTTTGTAAAATTGGTGGGACTTGAAAAAATATTTTTGAGACCAAGAAAATATTTATTGTATTTAAGAGGTTTTTTCAAAGAAATGTGCTTTCGTCAGCTTTAATCTTAAAAAAAAAAAAAAAAAAAAAATAGCACCCATTTAAAGAACAAGTAACTGTTTTACTCCGAAACAAAAGCCTGTAAGTCAAATACAAGCTTTTTTAAAACAAGTTTCTTTTTTCCTTTAAGTCATTCTCTTCAGTGATTCTGGAAGGAGTTAACTTTTATCCCTTTTTTCTGTTTTGATGTGCGGTGGATAACAAGTTTGGGGGTGCGATTCGCCTATGAAAGGGTACTTCTTGTGTGCTTTTTAGGAGGCGAGAAAGATGGAGCAGCTTTGAGTTCATGGGCTAGGTATTTGAAGAACAAGTACGGTAACCGCGACCGGGGGAAGGAAAGCAAAGAGGGGGCCGCGGGGGCCTCTGGGACCTCGGGCGGCGCCAGCGGAAGCGTGGGAGGAGTCGCAGGGTCGTCCGTCTCTCGCCGCCTGTCGGTGGGGCTCCCGCTTCGCCACAATTCCACGAGCATTGAGAGTTCTGATGACGATCAAAAAAACACGCAAGGCTCCCCCCATTCCCCTACTTCAACTATAGCAGCTACGGCGGCTACGCCTCAACAAGCAGGTAATATTCTTTATACTTAAATTTGAGTCACACGCAGGACTAATCGCCAGTGTTAGGGAATATTAGAGACCCTTTATGCTGAGAGGAAATACAATATAAATCCATTTCTGATTGGTTCCCGTATTTTAGGCCTTCATAGTGTCACAAATAGGAATAAAGATGACATTCTCACCAATTGTAATTTATATAAACTGGAATGGACCGGGGAGTTAGGGGCATGACGGCAAAGAACGAACTGAGTGAGAAAAGAGACGGAGACAGAAATTCGGGAATGAGTTTATTAAAGTCTACGAAAAACGTACAATTTGTGTATTATTTATTTCCATTTGTGACATCCATGAGCTGCATCGTCTCAACTCTCTTTATAAAGGGGCTCTACGGAATATCAACGAAACGGATGGATGAAACAATTAAACGTTCAATTAAAAGAAATTAACTGCTAGCATTGCAATCATGCCCGGCATGGTGCGGCAGGGTGTGGTGCGGCCCTACATGGGACGGCGAGAGCTGCGAAGAAGCAAAAAGGACAAACCAAAGACGGAGGCTCACGTCGAACGTAAACAAATGGTCTCTTCACCTATTCAGTCTCCTCCCATAAAGAAGTCGCAGTTTTGAGATTTTGTGGCATTCAGGTATCTTTGGCTTTAATTTGGCGAACGAAACATAGTAGGCACCTGAGTAGTCCGATGAAACTTTACACGTAGAAGCTACTGTCACATTTTATTGCCGTAAGTTGCGATTTGACGAAGAATATTTTCTATTTTTTATGTCTGTATTTCTTTCATCATTCGATCCACAATTGCAAATTTGTACGGCTAGTGATCTGTTTGCAGTCATCTTTTTTTGGGGTGTCATTTAGGCCTGTCTTTAGTTGCAGGATATGGCCAGCAGATTGACTCCTGCGTTTGCCCTGCTTCATCTAAATACCCTTTTGTGTTCATTTTCAACCATGTCATTAGTGACAAGCGGAGCTCAATGCGCTATTATTGTTGCATGGATTGACATTGCCGGATAGACGATTTCTTTGTCTGTTAAGCTTACTCTCGCATCTCGAAGCAATGGACGACGCACACCTCGGAAAAATATCCAATAATGAGATGGGGCTCGGATTTCAATTTTCAAATGCGCCCCTCACAGTGGGTTTTAACTAAATCTAATTAAGAAAATGAAAGTCCCCATATCTGAAAGCGGAAAAGTACAGCGAAACACCTCAGGAAAACATCCCCGCTGAAAAGAAAATCATTCGTTACAACTCCCTCACAATGTCAAGTGACACATCGATTCCCATGTAATTTTGGTCGTAGAATCCGAATGATTGAGTAATCTGGTTTGAGTGCTACCTGTGTGTTGCTGTTAGTACTAATTGCTTAATAACTAGTCTAGGGAACAGGTCGCCGTACCTAGCCTAACTTAATGGCGAGGACGAACAACACCAACATAGAGGGACGACGCACAGACCGGAATACGTTTAAAATGACAACAACTCAAAATTAATTTATAACTCTATTTATACTCCTGTTAAAGATAATTTAAATTATATACTTATATTTATTTCACATAATTTTGATATTACATATCAATAATTATTTATAATAAGCAATAATGCTTATTATCCGCTAGAATTACTTTTAAAACTCATTTATATTTAATAACAAGTCAATAGATACTAAGAATCATAGTAGTAGTAGTGACATATTCGTATTGTTAATATAGCAATAAATTAATAATAAAAAAAAAAAAGAATCCGAATATGAGCTCAGAAATCCCTCACGACTAAAAGGGATCGCGCAAATTCAAGATGGCGGCCAAAAATGGGCCCCGGAGTAAAAATTCTCAATTCCAGCTTTTGGTGACGAGTGAGATGTCTTTTTTATGTTGTTTGGGTCATAGGATCCAAATTTGAGGTCAAAAATTCCCTTCTGGCCGACAGGGATCCCTCAAATCCAAAATTGCTTCCATTTTGGGGCTGACATATTATTTCCGAAAGACGCGTATAGTCGAGTGAGGTGTCTTTTTACATGTTTTTTGGACCACATAATCAGAAACTGGGATCCAAACTGTGTCCCTGTGAGCCGGAAGGTAATATTTGTCCCTTAGCACCTTGATTGTAACGTTTTTATCAACTATTTAAATAAAAACTCAGAATTTCACTGTTAGAACGGCGCCAACCACACCAAGAATGCTCTATTCTTACAAATAATGTTTGACCTTTTTGCCTATGAGGGGCTCTAGTCCCCTGCTTCACAAAAAAACTAGCGCAAACTAAATAGAGCAAACTAAATTCAAGTTTCTATTTACAAAAATTAAATCAAGTTATATTATTTATTCTTATATTGATACATAATACTTCTATTATTACTACATGATTTATTCGTATTCAGATAAAACATGTCTACATGATGATTGCATTCATACAGTTGAATCTTCGTTAATGTCTTGAGAAAAAAAATTTGTTGTCGTGAATTGTCGTGATTAAATTTAAAAGATAATTAAAAAAAAAAAAAAAAAAAAAAAAAAAAAAACAAGAACAAAAACCGGCCCAACTAATGATTTTTGGAACCCATTTTGGCCGCCATCTTGGATTTGAGGGATCCCTGTCGGCCAGAAGGCAATTTTTGACCTCAAATTTGGATCCTATGACCCAAAAAACATAAAAAAAGACATCTCACTCGTCACCAAAAGCTGGAATTGAGAATGTTTACTCCGGGGCCCATTTTTGGCCGCCATCTTAAATTTGCGCGATCCCTTTTAGTCGTGAGAGATTTCTGACCTCATATTTGGATTCTAGGACCAAAATTACAGAGGAATCGATGTGTCACTTGACTTTGTGAGGGAGTTGTAACATTTGCAGCCCGCGGCGGCGCATATCAGCCGCCATTTTGGCTTGGGGGGGGGGCGGCAAAAAAAAAACGGCCCAGCGAATGATTTTCATTTCAGCGGGAATGTTTTCCTGAGGTGTTTCGCTGTACTTTTCCGCTTTCAGATATGGGGACTTTCATTTTCTTAATTAGATTTAGTTAAGACCCACTGTGCCCTAAGAGCCAAAATATGATTTAAAATACCTATCAAGATAGGTACAAACTATCTACTAAATAAGGTATGAAATAACTAAAAATAGGTATCAAATATCAATCATATTAAATATCCTATTAAGTCCTTTTTTAGGTATTAAATACCATATGTATGGAATATAGGAATAATAGGTTAACTGAAAAAGGCTTAGCAATTAGGTACCTATATATAGTGTTCAAATAAAGAGAACAATGTTGAGTGGAAAAGCATTAGATGTACAATGAAGAACAACTTAATCAGTCAGAAACACGTAAAGGGAACAAATCAAAAGAAAAATCTGGAACGTTTCGAAATAGTTACAGTAAGAGCTCGCTAAGTTTGATACGAATTGAGGTGTAATTGACGAAAATCATCGGTTTAGTACACATATTGATTACCTATTCCCATTATGTAAATGGTTAGGTACGAGTGTACCGACTACATACATCGCTCAAATACTAAAAAAGAGCCTCGACTGACGCAGCGGAGCGGGTAGCAACCGTGCGAAGATGAAATATGTTGATGCATGTAAAAGTGCAAATTAGTGTAGTATGCACGTGGTTGTGCAATAGTCCAAATGAAACATATATCCCGATCGAACCACGGTTAAAACGAAATGTTAAGGAATTCGAATTTTTTTCGGTCCCCTAGACAAGTCCATGCCTAAGATAAGTGGAGAAGCGGTTAGGTACGACGAATTGCCGCTTAAGTCGAATTTTATTTCGGTCCCTACACAATTCGTCTTAGAGAGCTTACAATTCCATCATCAATTGGAAACAAAAATCAAATAAGAAGAGTCGTCAATTTGCTGTTATTGATATTGCTGTCAGTCTCTATCTCGCAGTAAGCAAATCGACGACTCATTTTTATTTCATTTTTGTTTCCAGTTGATGGAACTGACATTATTTCTAAATGTTCCGGATTTTTCTTTTGATTTATTCCTTTTCCCAAGTAGTATTTTTCAACGGAAAAATCGCGATTGGTTGCGATTTTGTCGGCGATGAAATCACTAAGATCATCAACATCTGAGCGATTATCCTCGATCTTGTTGCAATAAAATTGCGATTTTATCGCCCGGCAATTTATCGCGATATTATCGCAACAAAAATCGCGATATATGGCGTTTTAATCTCGATTTTAACGACGAAAATTAATCGCGATTATATTGAACCAAAAATTGAGATGCATAGCGATTTAATAGCCATAAATAGTAGGGCGGATAAGCATAACAATCGTGCATTTCTGGAAGAAAGCATGAAACATTCAGGATATATCATCTTTACCTACAGAAGGTTCAATTTCGCAAGTGAGCCCAAAATTCTGAGGCCATGGGGGCCGGGGGGGNTTTTGGTCGCAAATTTCATATTTGAAGTCAAAACAACCCCTCGGTCAAAATTGGTGCCCCCAATCCAAGATGGCGTCCAGATTTGAAAGGCAGGAGGGTGCATTTTTTAAACTTTTACGCGATAAGGCAAGTGATATGTCATTACCTATGTAATTTTGGTCGTAGATTTCATTACTGAAGTCAAAAGAGTCCTCCGGTCAAAATTGGTGCCTCAAATCCAAGATGGTGGCCAAATTTTAAAGGCAGGAGGGTGCATTTTTTCAAATTTTTACGTGATAAGGCAAGCGATATGTCGTTTCCTATGTAATTTTGTTCGTAGGTACATTTCATTTTTGAAGTCAAAAAAGCTCCCCGGTCAAAATTGGTGCCCGAAGTCTGAGATGTCGGCCAAATTTGAATGACAGGAGTGTGAATTTTTATGAGAAAAAAAAAAATCACGTGAGATGACAAGTGAGGTATCAGTTTATACGCATTTTTAGTCAACAAAACGAATATAAATGAAATGTAAAAATATTGTTTACACAAAAATGATACGAGATAATTAAGAGGGTGATCAGTTTGGCCGTCCACTGTAGGAATAATGGTAACAGGAGCATCTATAATG